CAGTCAAGCAAATCACTCGTAACTGGTTTTTATATATTTTAGTATTCTTCGATCATGTCATATATTTGATTTATTAAACATTTGCATAAGATTTAGACATTATCGGATCCATTTAATGATTGACAAGTTTCTCGTGCATTAACATTCGTCGAGTGTTGGGCGATGCACAAGAAGGTACAAATCCTGTTAAACCGTGTCATCTTATGGCTATTAAACCAGTTTAAGACTTGTCAAGATTATAGACTGCAAGTGATTGGGTTTCAAATAGTTCCATAACCATTGTTCCCCTTCCAAAGGTGCAATTAGTCTCAAATTCAGAAGTAGTCTGGCACATTTTGATAAGTCATAAAGACTCGGATAGTCATATTGATCGATTAATATTTTAATAAAAAAATTGACATTGCGGAATGCTTATTCAGATTTCATGATCCTGAAGAAATATTAGTCAATATTTCTTACACTTTATTTATCTGACTAATACTTATTTTTTTTTACCTTGTTGAAATTCAACTCCAAAAAAATCAAAAAGCTATTTTTGCAAAACAATCAGTTAAAAAAAAAAATTATATATATGTACAATATATCATATCTTATGTAACTAACATACATTACAATTTTAAAAGAAAATTTACATATTTACAGGCCTTTGCCAATCTTCATTAGTCCAAGTAGAATAAAAAAAAAACTCCTTAAATTCATTTCATTTCATTTCCTTCTGATTCTTCAGCTATGTGAAAAATAAAGACCTACTATTTACAGTTTGAAATATGACAAAATAAAAAGTTGCAAGTGTTATTTAAACTGTGAGTTATCATCCATTTGAAAAGCAGCAAAATAGACAATAATATACTTACATCAGAATTGGACGAATCAATTGATGGGAGATTAATTCTCCTTGCAGCATGATTACTGTAGTTATGACTTTTCGATATAGCTCTATGTCTGCGCTGTTTGGTTTTATAAACTTTTTGTTGAAAACTTCACATACAGTTCTCTAGTGAATACAACAATGGAAAGTTAGTGTTTTGATCCATTGAATCTTGGTGCAATGATGTTACATAACTACTCATTATAGATCAGTGAGATAATGAATTAATTATGTCCTGGTATTCTCACTTTAAAATGCAATTTGCATTATGTATTATCCTTATCGGAAGCATTAATTTTATGAAGAGTATTAACATTATCAGTTGTTGGATAATATACTTACCATGCACACAAAAACTCCACAGCTTTTTAAATCTGTTTGTTGAGGTTGTTTTTCTATTCTTGTTGTCTTTATTACAAGGTTATTCTTTCTTACATAAACCCTGGAAAGATATCAATAAAACTGCACAAAAGGTACATAATAAAAGCAAAACACAGCTGCATAATGCAGTATAATACGGATATACATTACAAATGAAATGTAAGGTTTTTTTTTTGGCGTGAAGAAGTCATTCATTCCTAAAACCTATCTTCAAAAACATATCTACCAAAATAAATGAATTATTTTACTTACTTTATGTTACAAAATAATTCACTCTTCGAATCAGACGCACCCATTGGATCATAGTACTTAATGGTTCCCCTCAACAGTAACAATCTATAGGAGGAAAATTAAAAATTACATCTGCTATTTTACATAAGAAATGTAAAAGTTAACGTAATATACTTTCGATAACTTTCAATAGAAAGAAACTTTTCACAATGTCAAGATATTTAAAACTCTGGGATCACCTGTGATGTGAGAAGATTTAAATGCACAGATTTTTCTCAGAAATAGTGTTTACTAGTTTTGTAGATAGCAATAAATCTTATTACAGTGGTGTAGCCTATTTTCGTGGATATAAGGATTCAACACCGAATTTCGTCAAAGTTAAAAAAAAGGAAAAAAAAATTTATGTCTTAGAGGTTTCCTCAGATATTCTACCAAATAATTAAAATTGGTTTATTTCGATTTTCTTTATGAATCCTTCACTTTGACCCATATTTCATGAGCAACCAACTCGGCAACGGCGGCAGAATGCTTCACCTATTTTCGTGTACAATGTTTGATCTATAAATAAGTCTAGAAAAACACGTTGTATGGATACCGGGTGGTATAATTAACTTCTCTTAGTATTTATCTTGAATATCAATTCATTATAACTAGTGACAATTTCTTCAAAGAACCACGATTTAAAAAAAAATAGTGATTGACAAAATAAGATACGTAGCGTGATTTATTGCTAAAAGTCACTGAAACAACATAAGAATATGGTCCACTTTGTGTTCCATAGAAATTTTCTGCTGACACGGAATCCGCTAGTTGATCACGTGACTTCATTCGTTGGACTACATTCTAGCAGACGACACTTGGAATTCCGATTACCGCTTGGGATTATAAGGAAATTCGGCCGATAAAAAATGGTGACGTTTGGTAATAAGTGAAATCCGCCATTTTGTATTTGTCGAAGTATACATTAATACATTTTACCTTGCTTGAAACTACTGGATTCAATCTACTAGCTCATATTGTAGAGGAAACCCATGTTTACCAAACAAACTAATGCAAAGGTCGCTAATGTAAATTATTAATCCTTTCCGAAAATCCACGAATAATAGGTTTCCACGAAATTAGGTTACTTAACTGTACTGCAAGGCTTCTATAAATTTACTTACAGCTAGTGTCTAATGATGAAGTAATAAAATATTTGTTTTGGTTTCCTAATGTTCGTTTTCCGCATACGACAAACTACAATAATAGTTGGTCTGATACGAAAAGGTTTTATTAAGTGATTGTAGAGGTTGATGCCCAGCCCATCTAAGGAGTATTGACAGATTTAACTATTGTATTTGTAATTCTGATATTTATTCAGCCATTGTATTGGTACACTTTTTAGAACTCCCCTAACAAAGAGTTCCCTTAAGGGAGATAACTTATTATGATCCAGACAACAAATAATCATACACTACAATTCCTTCCTTTTTCCTAAATGACAAATCATCATTTTCTGTAAACATCAAATCTATAAGAAAAAACGCAATCTGTACTCCAGGTGATACGATCGGCTAAGATACAATATCTTCGTGATGTTGTGACTCAGTCGAGTAACACAAAGAATCTCTTCGCCATGTTCAACACCCTAACTAAAGATAATTCTAGAGACATTTACCCAACTTGTTTCAACGAGGATAAATTACCGGAATTATTCTCAGATTATTTCATCGATAAAATAGTCCAGATTAGAAACCAATTTCCTGCATCTGTGATCTAGCAAATCGATAGTAGCCTCGAACAAACAGAAGCACTACGTTTCAACCCAATATCACAGATTCAACTTGAGAAGATTATCATTGCAGCTCCAACAAAATCCTGTGAACTGGACGCCATACCTACCTGGCTTTTAAAAAAAGGTGTCTATTAGATCTTCTTCCCCTGCTACTAATACTGGTTAACTCGTGCATAACAGAATCTCATTTCCCTACCATCTTCAAAATAGGTCATGTTAAGCCTCTCTTGAAAAAGGCAACTCTTGATCGAAACTGACCGAAATTACAGACCAGTCTCAAATCTGTCATTCCTTTCTAAAGTCGTTGAGAAGGTTATAGCTTCGCAACTCAAGGATCATTTGGAACAGTATCAACTCCAAGAACCATTTCAGTCAGCCTACCGAGACGGCACTTGTCCGAGTGAGCAATGACTTGTTACGCGGAATGGATAACAAAAATGTTATATTGTTTGTTCTTTTAGATTTGTCGGCCGCATTTGACACTATTGATCATGATGTCTCGCCATCTCTTGAACCAGGTGTTTAATGGTGTTCTGGTTCTAAAAAAAAATACCACTGACCAGAAAATAGAGGACGTCTGAATCAAACAAGCTACTCATCTCCTTTCACGGATTTCACATCACTAAAAAACACAAATGTTACCTTTACAGGTATTGAGCAACCTAAATTCGTGAGTGAATGGAAAAAGAAATTCATTCCCTCCGAATTTTTACAGGAAAGCTGAGAGGAACTTTCTGGTGGTATTGATCAGCTGTAAGAGGAACTATCTGGTGGTCTTGACCAGCTGTAAGAGGAACTATCTGGTGGTCTTGACCAGCTGTAAGAGGAACTATCTGGTGGTATTGATCAGCTGTAAGAGGAACTTTCTGGTGGTCTGGACCAGCTGTAAGAGGAACTATCTGGTGGTCTTGACCAGCTGTAAGAAGAAGTACCTGGTGGTCTTGATCAGCTGTAAGAGAAACTATCTGGTGGTCTTGACCAGCTGTAAGAGGAACTATCTGGTGGTCTTGACCAGCTGTAAGAGGAACTATCTGGTGGTCTTGACCAGCTGTAAGAAGAAGAATAACAGACATTGTGTTTTACAATCTCAGATCAAAAGAATAATGGCACCCAAAAGAAGGACGGCACCGGAAAGAAAGACGGGGTTGGAAACAGGAAGTGGAAATTGGGTAAGGATCATCTTCAAAGTTTCAAGGCTAAGAACTTTGTCTTATACTTTGACTGTAATAGCCTCCTTTCTTATATCATAGAAGTTTGTAAATGAAATAATGTGATTGGAGTGTATGCTAGCGGATACAGCCAATCAGAGGCCTCAATAGAAAGCCTTAACCGTCTTTCTGTCCATTGTGTATGTCTACGTAATATTGTTTTGTTGTTCACATGTAGTCTGAAAACCGTAAAAAATGAAAGGTATGGTGAAAATCTGACCGTTTTTTCTAATAAGAATGAATATGCAAAAATAACGTATACTCCCTTTTCAATTTAAGATTTACTCAATGCGGACGCTTACAACTTTCGGGTTATAAGCGATACATCCGATGAAGATGGGTATGTGTCGCTGGCGATACCAAAAGAGGCACTGCAATACCGCTATCTGGAGGGACACGGTAAGGATCATTTGATAAATTGACTTTCTAGGTAACTGCAGTGCGCTTTTAGTCAGACATGTAGATAGAGGTTTAAAACAGACTCCGAACCGACTTTTAGAAGCACTATCGCAAAAACTGCAATCATTATCTGGGTGATTTTGTGGAATTGTAAGAACCACATACTAAAATAAAGATAGAATGATGTAAATCGATGTCATCAGTGTTCCTGATACACATAAAAAGTTTAGAAAACCTCTTAACAAGCACTCTAGGCAGCAGCCACAATTCTGAGTTCCCTACGTAGTCTATGTCAACTGCTAGAGTATTTAAACATATTTGTGTTGTACGTCTTCATAATCCCAATTACAAATCAGGGGCGTAAAACTCCATTTCATTTCAATTGAAGGAATGAATTCACTCTCAGAAATCTATTTATACTACAGGTTGGTGTGTATGTGTACCTAACCTGCGGGATGCGTCTCAAGATCCCCAAACAAGTGGTGAGTGTTTCAGTTGTTCCTATATAGCACGTTTATGGTCGATCTCCACCAATAATACATGTATCAGTACCACGTGTCTGCCAGGACAGATATAGTGTCAGTAAGGTTTTGATATTAAAAAAAATAATAATGCTCTTGTTATTTTGAATTCCAGATGATGAATATACTGATGATGATGATGATGATGATAATACCGATGAAAATGTGTCTTCTGTAGATGGCCCTGAAAGACTGGATGATTTAAGTGAAGAAATAGATGAGGATCTTCATCGGTATTATCTGGATCTGGATTACCGACCAGGAAAGGGTGTACGGGAGTTGGTGGTAGAGATGCCGACAATTTGGGAAGGAGAGGTATGGGAAGATGAAGATGACACTTGGGAGGATGAGATAAATAAGGAAACCGTCCAGGGGAACGTTTCGAACTGGTTTGTGGCACTGGTGTTTGGGGGAATTTTCCTTTCTTGCATTGTTCCGATGGGTAAGTGCTTGATTTGGACTATCTGGATTGTAAGTTGGGTAAGTTTTCTTAGATTGTATTCCTTGGGAGCAGTATGTTCTAGTCAAAGACTTTTATATTTCAGCATACAACTATTTCTGCCCAGCACCAGTGGAGGACGCGAGCTGGTGGATGTCCTTAACCAGTGTCATCTTCCCACAGCCAGTTGTGGACAACTCTTGGTGGGAAACCATCAAGAGAGTCATCTACCTACAACCAGTTGTGGACAACTCTTGGTGGGGAACCATCAAAAGGGGTTTCACCTGGCTGTGGTAAACATCTTCCTGTACCAAACCTTGGACGGACAAAATAATTGGAAACGGGTTTGGACTCTTTTTGGACGCCTTGTTCAAAAAGGGTCCTCGCCAACGGATATGAGATTGATCACTGGAATTGCTTGGAAGCTCAGTCTTTTTAGAAAATCTAACATTTTCCAATATTTTTTTCTGATATTTAAGTCATTGTAATCTTAAGAAGTTTTGTAGTAATTTTGGTTTGGGAGCATACTTACTTACTATACTACATACTTACTTACTATACTACATACTTATACCAGTAAAAATGGTATATTTGTGATATACCAATAGGCCGATGACTGTTGGTGAACAGGACTTGTTACCTAGGTACTTTTTTTATTTCTTACTATTACATCACTGTCACTACTGATTTGTTAAAATGCTAAAAACGAGCATACAACTACAGTTTAAAATCTTTAGGCCAAGAAATCAGCAATAGTAATGTAAGTCACGACAAACCTATAGTATCCTACAGTACATCCAATGAATGTTCTTTCTGGTAATACCAAATACATATATTACAGTGATAATGAAATTCAAAGCGGAGATAGTGTATATTGCAGTGATCTCATCATAGCATTTTTATTACATTTTGGTGCGTTTAAAGTGTTTTCAATAACAGAAATTTTTAGCTGGCACAATGGTTGGTTTTCAGTAACCAAAACTCAAAGCTAGGCACAAGGATTAATTTTGTTCTGAGTAACGCTCAGTTAAAATATAAGATATCATGATGCCAGTTCATATTAAATAGCGATAAATTGTTTTCTCAGGTTATCTTCATGAAATTCCTCTAGGCTACTGATATGAACATAGTAATATTCGCCGCCGTGATCTAAAAAGGAAAATATGATTTATTTTATCCACAATTTAATGGATGATAGACACAGGAACTGCAACATAATGTCTGTCTACAGAAGCGTGTTAATTTCCCCGCGTCCCTTAACCATCAGCTTTATGCCCATGATTTTATAGCCCTATTTTGTCCCCCAGACTTCCACCTGTTTACTTAATTAAAAAATAGGAATAAACCGGTCGCCATTTGTTCTAGTAAGCACTTCTTTTTATAGAGTCAAATCTATAGTCATAATATATTATCAAAGGAATTATGTTTTTAAAATAAATGATGTTAGTGCAATGACAACATGATACGTTGAAGAGTCATACCTGTATCCCCATTTAAAAATGCTGTAACTGGTAAATCATCTTTATATGCAGAAAATCCTTCATCTTCTCTTATAACATGGTCATCGGCGTTACAATTACAGTTTAAACCAGAATAGCACGAGTTATCTACCTTACACGCACAGTTCATTTGACCTTTAACACCACCAAAAAAATAATCAGCCAAAGATCCATCACGTGTTCTCCAACCATTATCTGTCATTAGTGTCGACAAATAACTTTCATATACTGAGTACAGAACGTAGATGAATCAACAATGGCAGAAATAAAGTTTAAACCAATAGAATAATTCACATCGTATACGCCACTTCGGGCAGCAGCATGACCTCGTAATTCGCTATTATGTTGAATCTGAAATTAATCATTTTACTAGAGATGTGTGTCATAGAAGCGGAATTTTTGGAAACTTGATATTGTTAGTCCAGAATTATCTTACTGTTATTTTGTAAAATAAAAAAAATTCTGCGTGTGATTAAATCGGTTGTATACAACAAACTTTATTATTAAAAACATTGTAAATAAGATACATAAAAGGATTTCTAAAATTTCTACTTTTGGTTTTTGACCTGATTTCAATAATTTTAGATGAAAAATCCAGAATATATAGGAGACATAATTTCTACAATTTAGCGGGTTTTTTTTTTTTGCTAAAATTCGTACATTAGTTTGCCAACGACAATCAAACATGGCCAGTTAAAATATTAACGTAAACCTTTTAACGAGTTTTGGCGTTATAAAATTAACGGTAAGATACTTCAAGTAAAAACTTTCAGATAGGGATACATTTCTCTGGATTGTGTTGTATAGTTGTGATAAATTTTAACCCCACGGGAAATTCTGACCTACTAATAAAATCTGAATGTCCCTTCAAGTTTTTTCGTGTGAATAGAATTGTCTTTCAACTCAATAGATATGAAGAGTTCTTTCAAGTCGGCGATTCAACTATAATATCTTACAAATAACAAGAGTGTAATGGAAAGTTATATAAATATCATATTAACGTTACCAACCTATAACAGTCCAATAGTTGTCATCAATTTGTTCACATTTAACATCGACAGTACTTTTGGTTGCTATTGGCCTTACTGCTAGTTCTGAACCAACAGATACACCAAGGGAAGCAGCTTCAGCACAAGTCTTGCCTGAAATAATTTTATAAGTTATATAGTGTACACTTATGTGATTCGTCTTCTTTTCCGAGTCATTACACTGGACACATATCCCAATAACGCAAGTATGTGTATGCTTGTCAATCAAACACACAAAGGAAGATGAGACAAGCAACATGGTGCAATACGCTGACTACATACGATACAGATATAGTCAG